CAAGTAATATTTATAAAGTGGTAGCTAAATCTATATTTTTTAATGTCTCTATAAAATTTTAATTGATAGTAATAAGGTTTTGATAGCTTCTCAGCCCATGTAAAAATTCTAGCACTTATTGCTTTTATAGCAAATTATAGCATTCGTTAGTTCTATGATCGCTGGTTACGTACACTTTCTTTAAAACCATGCAGCGGACCAGATAATTGTTTTGTTACCCCTCGTTAGGGCTCGATACCTTAACGATTTCTTTCCTCATTGATTAAGGCGCCCGTTATTTGGCGTGGTGGAAAGTCCTCATTCCTGTCTTCGCTTCTCCTTGCACCAAATTAGGCTAGGGTATATTTTACACATCTAAAACTTGTATTTTCGGGATTATGTTATAACAGCGCTAAAAGCTGACTTGACATGGAGAAAAACGTTCAAGTCAAGAGAGCTTATATTGACTATGTGTAATTCAGATGTAGAGAAAGGTTGGCAACGGAATATTGATATTACCAGTGACACAAACTGTAAAAAAATCTTCTCATACCCTTATATATCTTTTTATAAGAAAAAATGCACACTTAAAGATAATATACATATAGATTTTGTACAACGGAATATAACAATTTTTATTTACGACTCTTAAAAGCAACTTGGACAAAAAATATTAACTAACTTATTAGTAAAATACCGGAAAAACTATAGGGAAAGCAACCTTTTGAGCTAACTATTTTCCTGAAAAAATAATTTACCACAACTTCTGTTGCAAATTTGCTTTACCTAACCTTCTCAACTATATAAAAAAATTCTAAATATATGGCCAAAACTAAAGGTACTGCAGTTAACTCAAACAAAAAACTCTTTTTCAAGCTATATCGGGACGTGTGATACAGTATATCTTCCTGTATCGTACGGGCACAGACGCCACGCTTACTTGGAAATATGTCGAGCCAGGTCTCTATACTAAACCATATAAATAAGGTTTAGCCATATATTTAAGGAAGACTGCAGCATAACGATAACATTATGAATCAATTTAGTAAAAAGGATTCTAAATTGAATTGTAAAGAAAGGATTAGTATTGGAAAGAAGCCATGTCTTTAAAACAGAACAACCAACTTTAGAAGCGTTTAAAAGCTACATGAGAAGGAAATGCGTAGTATTAAGCTCGCAGGTAATAATTTAAGCCTTTATTAAATATTATATGTATATATATATATATTCATATTTTAACACCGACATAAAAAAAATGATTACAAAAAACTTAATTAGTTTTCCCATATTTCTTTCTTAAAGCACGGGTCCTCTTCCTTAATTTTTTATATTTATGTTTTTTCATTTTTTTCCTTCGCTTTTTCAAAACGCTCGCAAATTTTCTTTGAACTTTAATTTTGGGTGGCAACGCCCAATATGAAGACGGACGCCTTATATCTGAGGCTGTATAACAATAGTGACGGCAAATGTATTCATATACTATAAAACTATGTTTCGTTTTGTATTTATCTCCCTCTCTTATAATTTTATTAAAAGGTACGCTTTCAAAATGTACATTTGGGTTTTTAACTGAGCTGCTTCTCCAGAACAGGGCAGTGCAACCTAATAATAAGTGGAAAATAAAGACCAATTCTTTTAAAAGAAGTGGAAAAATTGCTACCTACTATATAAAATAAAAAAGCTTAAAAAGAAACTTAATAATGAAATTTATATACTATAATGAATTCTAATTAGACGGGTTATTTCTCGCACTTTAGGGGCAACAAAGCTCTTTATTTTAAAGCAAGGCATACCGCCTTCTAAGTGAGGTCCACTGTAAGTTAAAGGGTAAGCATAAATTAAATTACGTATAGAGCCCCACCTGCATGTTCTCTTTAGATAGCACATTCGATACGCGTTTCATCCCAATACCTAGTCTGTTACTTAAGACTCACTTCAAACGCGCCTTTATTAGTTTATATATATCTACACACATATATATATATACAAAATCTATGAGAAAACCGGTGAAAACCGAATTAGAATACAAAAATTAATTTAAGTTATTAGCAAAACTAAGCAGTCTGCACTCAGTTTTATTGAGTAATGCATAAATCTTTAATAAAGTAAGAGTTAACATAAGCTTATTTTTTTGGGTGGAAGGTTAATAATCGGGGTCGCTTCCCAGCCCTCCGGGACGTCAACATATATTCATTTTTGGTGGAACCTACTTCTAGGCTTCCATGCTCTAACATTTTAAACGAAAAGAAATATAGGATAAGGGATTTAAGGGAATCAAAAAGGCTGAAATTTGTAGCCAGTGTTATAATATAAAAGATATAAGTCTGATAACTAGAGAATAGCTTCTCTTCCTCACGCTAGATAATGAAGAACATTTTAGTTGTCAGAGAATTATAATATGGAAGCCCTAATAGTGATAAAGCATATGGCACGTATAATATTAGGGCAACATCAAATTAAAATAACCTCTCTCTGAGTGTGTTAAGATAACAAGGAAAAAGTTACATAAAGTCAAAAGCTAGATTATTTATCATTATTTAGAAAAATTAAAGCTTTTTTTGCCAATTATTTTTTTAAACTGAAAGGAAGTCTCCATAAATTCACGCTAATCAACAAATAGGTATATATTTGTAAAAAATTTCTATTTAGCAATTCCCCTACTACTTAAAAACAATATATCTACTAAGTGGCCCTCTAGATTATTTGACTATTTTTAAACTTAAACGCCTTCTCGAGTGTATGATTTATGTTATTTTGGTCCTCTACACTAAAAAGTTTCTTGAACTGTTTATGGGTTCTCGGTAACCAATTTTAAAAGAACAAAACTCTAGTATCTGCTATGATACAATTTTTTAAATTAAAATAGTATAAATGGTTATTTATTAAAACATTTGATCTAAGAAGTGTGTGATTACTGCATAGGTGGACCATATATATATGAGGATATCCACTTAATAAAAAATTTACTTAAGGACTCCTCCCCTTTGGGTGAGGAGTTCATAGTCTGAGAGACTTGGCCGGCAGTGGAACTGACCAGTGTCTCCGGATGGTCTCGGGTCTTGTGTTCAAGGCGGCCTCACCCGGTGGGATTTTTAGCGTTTCCACCACACTAGGTCAATTGGTGGGAGTCCTGGCCGGTCTTCGTAATGTAGCTGTTCATTTTTGCCTGTAGAACTTAGAAATCGATTAAATTTTGATTAAAAGTGAAAACATAAATAAAAGCAAAAATAAACTTAATAATACTTGAAGAATTATTTACTAAAACAAAAATCTTATCACTGGTCCTTGAGCCCTACGTCAATTGGCACCAATGGACGTGCTGAATAGCACCATGTAAAAAAATAGAAACCCTATATCGGCTGTTAAGGCGCTGAATATTAATTATCGTCGGATCCTTTGCCTGTCCCCTATCTTACTTTGGAACTCCCGCTAAACTAAACATTGCTGTTGTCAATTTGAACACGCGGTAACGGAAGTTCACAGTAGTGCTACGACGACACGTGAAGATGTGTGCAGCCCTAAACGCCTTCCTGAGTAACTAAAGCGTAAATATGCGAGCGGCGGCAACTCATCCGAGCTGATGGTGCATATAAACTGTTAATGGGATAACAAATTAAAGAAAGTATCGGATGCTGCTGACATTAGTCGGACCTGCATTTGAAAATTTGTCAATTTTATTAGAAAACGAGCGGATTCGCCTAGGCCACCATTTCGCACTGGCGATACCGTAGTCGAAGCGATAAAGACTAAGCGATAAAGACGAAGCGAACTTTTGCTGATAATCTAGCTGCCCGATGTTCGCGGTCTACCCCCTCAACCGTCGGTAACTCCCCCCTTGTATCTAATTTTATCTCCACTGACACATTGATTTTCTAGGACTGTGCACCACAGGTGAGATCTAATCAATAGTTGTCAATTTATTAGCAAAGTTTAAGGCACCTAGCCCTGACGGCATTAATAGCTTGATGTTTAATCAGCTGCCAGAGGCCGCTATGGACCATCTATAACGCCTCGTCCACTCTGTCTTAACCTTCAGTTATTTTTCCGGGCTATTGAAAATGGCGGTAGTTGTGATGTTACCAAAGACATCGCAACTGGTCGGAAAATTCAACCCATCAGCCTTTTATCCGCAAAAGGTAAGATAGCTGAAGCTTTGATGCTTAATCGTTTGAAGGCGGTTGTGGACGCTCGTGGAATTGCACATGAGTTTCACTATGAATATTTCGCAAGGATACTCCTCGACCCAACAGTGGACGAGCAGAGCCTCTTATCACCGACGCTCCCTTTTCCATGCTGAGGAAGGTTTTAACCCAGTATGGTATAGTGGTCTGACAAAAGCTACATGCTCTGGCGAGACCGCGCTGCTTTCAAGAAGTTCTCTAGCTGTGCATAAACGGTCAGGTTTTCGACGTGCGAGTAGGCGCTGCAATCTCGTCGTCTCCCGCAAGGTTCTCTTCTATCACCGCTGCCATTCGCCCTTTGCAGTGACCTTCTGCCAGTCCACCCTGGCACACGAGTCACGATTTATGCTGCATTACGAATGAGTTATTCACCGCTAAAGTCACCTTTTTTACAATGTCAGCAACAATTATATCTCGACGCGCTTACTAGATGGTGTCGAGACTGGGACCTCTATTAACGCAGCAACGCGCCATGGTTTGTGCGCGATGATACACTTCACCATGAACTACGAATTGAGTTGCTGACCATAATCTTTGAAAATGATATTCGCTCTCTACTAACGGATAGCTGGACTTAACGCCTTATAGCGGAAGGGCTCCTTTTCAAGTTGTGGAACGGCGCACTCTTAGCATGAGATCTAAGTTGGGGGTTTACGAACATGAGGGATACAATTTAAATCATAATCTCGCTTGGTCTCGTGGACGATTTCAGTTCGACATCTCGTGTATTCGAAGCTGTTAACTCGATCGAGCACTAGGAAACGCCATTTATAAAAAAAAAGTCATTACAGAGGGTGATTTCAGCAAAATAGTGTAAACTGCGAGATGTTTAGGGACCAAGTGCAACCATCCTCAAGGGTGAGTAATTTCATATCATTCAGAGCTGGTAGAATGAAAGTGGAAGGAAAACTAGTCTCTCCTATTGAAGAAAGGGGACTAATTATTTTGTTTTTGGTAACTTTGTGTTAAAACGCTATTATATAATTTGTGCATAACTTTATAAATTCAGAAAGATTCCTTATTGCATTTTTGCTGGAAAAACCGTAAAACTTCTAAAGTTGAAGAAGTATTTTTGATAATTACTAACCAGATAAAGATTTTTCTGGTTTTTTACTTCTAAGGAACTGGTTATTGTGGAAGGGGAAAATGTAGAGTTCCGAAAAGTTAAACAAACCGAAGAACGAGTGTACGTTTTAGAGTTTAAAGAATCCAAAAAGAAATTGTTTTTTTGGATGCAGGAGGTTTTTTTTGATAGGGGGAGCTCTCATATCTTATAACTTATTTTTAAAATCTAAGCCAAACACTCAAACCGACGCGGTTATACAGAACCAAGTTAATTATTTATTGAAACATCCACCAGTCCCCGGTCAAGACCCTTTTCAGGGCTTTGGGGATAATGACGATAAGGATGATGTGGAAAAAGTATTTGTTTAGTTGTAATTTTTATATTTCTTTGATAAAATTCGTTAGATGGACGTGGATACTAACTTAAATTCTTCTGACGAATGCTCTACGTCTGAGAAGCCTCCGTCTATGGAAACCTCTAATGAGGACAAAGAAGAACCTAGTACTTCTAACAAGGAAGCTCCGAAGTGGACTCAACAAGAGCAGCGCCTGTTTCACAAGTTTTTAATTTCTATTGCAGAAACTAAAGGTTTTTTTAATTAATTTATTTTTTGACTTAATCCCATATACACCCTCGTAGATCGCGGAGCTTTTGGCCAGCAAGCTACTATACATCAACTTATTACTTCTGAGACTGCCCGGAAGTTACTAGACTCGCCAGAGGTGGTGGAGAGGTATTTCCTTTATAAATCGTCTCTTGCAGTACTCATACCTACTAAGTTTCGCTGAGACACTTCCAAACTCTGTTTCTATAACGAAAGAAGGAATTCTCGAAATGATGATGAGCCCCCAATTCTTACAGGTCAGGCATGCTCACTCGAACAAAAAGAGTTGTCTTTTACTTTTTGGTCCTCGCTTGGCAGTCCGTGCAACTACTAGACCAGGCACTAGTTAGCGGTGCTCTTTCCCCAACAGTTTTGGGTATTCGAGGGTCTTCAGAAGGGCACACTGGCATTGAGGCCCTCCTTATAGCTCTTAAGAATGAAGCTTGCAGTTCAGACGAAAAAGAGGTCTTATAATTGACCCATTCTTTTGCTGTATAGTCTCTTTCAAATTTTTTATTAACACGTACAAAAGTACAAAATAGCTATATTTGAAAAATTGTTAAGTAATAAAGTTGCATTATCAATCAAAAATTTTTAACCGACCTTTTAAAAACCTACAAGATCTTTAGTTAGGCTACCCTCTTTATGCTGTCATTTAAATTATGCCAACTTTGAGAATTACTTTTCTTTTAAAGTTAAATTATTGTGTATTTTACCTTACACGCTTTCGCACTCGAAAGGGGGGTTTCTACAATTGGGGTGTCCCAAAACTATTACCTGCTTAAAATTTAAGAACTTTCGGAGCTCTTTAATTTGTAGACATAATTTTTCAAGGTTTAATCGGCTCCTGTTTGCTCCTAGAGTAATAAAGTTGGTGTTTTCATTTTCCACCACGTGCTTTATAAGTTTATAAGCATGGCCAAAACGTCAGTGTTCTTTTTAGCACTAGCGGATTTTTAAAATTTTAATCACCTTAACCTGTATTTTCCTCAAGTGAAACTTAGGCGCAAAATTTTACCAATGTATTTTTCCTGTAAAGTATACTATCTATACCAAAAAAATAAGCTTCAGCTGATTTCTGCCATAAGCTAAGTATAGAAGTTATGTTAAAAACGGCACTATCGCCGGTAGTGGCGGTGAAAAAGCGTAAATATGCGTACACCTAAGGTGGAAATTAACGTATCTATAAGAAAATGGCTTTTTACTTGAGAGGTTGGAAAACCCTTAGCTGCTTAATCTATCTTCCCTTCAGTATTAAAGGGCGAGCGGTTTTTTTGACCATAAAAAAAAAAATAAAAAAAAAAGGAATAAATAGTAAGACAGTTTACTTACTGGGCAGTGCAGTTTATGCCGACTACATGTTTTGATCGCTAGTATACCCTCTGGGATCGTACTTTAGCGCTTCAACCGGCAAGTTGTGCATTAGCTGTATGCATTTAGCGATTGTTGTGCGTGGCTTATTATAAGGGTGCCTTAGATTCCAGTTGACAGCCTCTATGTAGCTGAATAGTTCACAAAAACTAAGGAGCAATAGTAATCATCCACAAGCGCCTATTTTGGAATAATTGTACTCCTTTAAGGTTTTCCGCCGAAGAATAAGACCAAGCTATTAAGGCTACAGCAATACCGATCGTAAACATGCCGGGGAGAGAAGTTTGTTATGTAGTGAAATCTGCTTGAGCGGCAGGGGGGGTAATACAAACTTGCCTTAGCATTATTCGCTTCCTTTATGCTAACCCCTTTGAGATTTCTAATTAAACTTTATTAAAACACCCAGGTACTTCTAAAACTTCCACGGGACAATTTGACCAAATAAAATGAGCTCACGAATGTTTTAATCCTTCGTCTCCTAGATATAAGTAAGGCTATGCTTTTAAATGGGTTTTTTTAATTCACTTTCTATTTTTGCCATTAAGCTTTAAGAATGCACTAGGTAGCTAAAGGTTACGACTTGGAATTGCAATTAATGGCGAGGTCGTCACCATATTGAACGCTGGATACTATCCCAATTTGGGGTTATGGACAGTAAGGGTGACAATAAGATCCTTGCGGGACCTCGATTGCTTGTTTAATGGAATTGACTTTACCCTGCCAATCAACTTAGCATTCCACTTTGACGATTTCTCTGGCAAATTTTGCAAAAGTAAAATCTATTTGCCGAGTGAGTCTTCCATGCCTGAAAAAATGTTCCAGAAGAGGTTGTTGATGCTTTTAGCTGTTTGAAAACTATTTTTTAGGACAGGTTCAGAAATTATACAAGAATAATAAATTATTCAAGTGGAATTTAGAACTAGTCAAAGAAATTTCTTAAAAGAATTTAAAAATAACAAACTACTGAAAGTTGCCGATACTGATAAAAACCAAGAACCAACTTTAATGACAAAGAAGCAGTATGTAAACTGGTTAGCGACACAATTTACAGATAAATGCTATTCTCGAAATTCAGAGCGCAATAAAAAGGAGATATTGAGAATGTGTCGAGATAAGATTCTTGGGTTTTATCAGATTGTAAGAAGGACAATGGGTAAAAATAACGACTTGTGAAACTTACCAGAATCTTTATTCATGAGCTGGAAAGGACTCGAGTTATTTTTACGGGTTTGCCAAAGTGCACAAAAAGGAATTTCCTAGATGTGCACCAGACATTAGACCTCTAGTAGGTGTGTTAACCCATCCGTCACCGGTCTGTCTAAATGGCTACATTACTATCTATTACCCCTAATAGATACCATTCCTTCTTACATTAGGAATTCCAATGATTTCCTGACTGCCATTCCGTCTCACGATGAAGTAATGTCTCTAGATATTTCACTTATATACCTCTATTCCTACTCTAGCAGCATATAAGGTGATTAAAAGATATATTTTGGCATATTATGGACAATTATGAGTGATTTGTTTGTGGAAGCTCTTCGTTTAATTCCAAGTACTAGCTATTTTGAATTTAGTGATAAGCTCTACATTTAAACTATTGGAATTCCTATGGGGAACCCGGCAGCTTCTAAACCTCCGATTGAGGAAAAAGGAGTGCAAAACTTCACTGAAATAAAAATATCTTATTGGAACATCTTGTACAGCAGTCCGTAAGTCATATCTTATTAAATGCCTTTTCAATGTTAAATATTGACTATTTATCATTAAAGGCTTTACGTTCTCAGAAAACTTTAAGGGCAGGCTGTTGACTTGTAAAGTGTTTGTGTCTGAGGCCGAATTGATTCTCGTTACCGTTAATTTTTCTTCTTTATAAATGATTTTTTGTATCCTCATGAGGATACTCAATCCTACTACTTTCCACAGGCACGACAAAAGACTGATAGGGCGATATTCATCAACTAAATGGCATTTCCTGCCAAACTTTAGAATGAAAAATACAAAACGTATATTTTCAGACAGTATATATATGATACGAGTTGACTTGGCTGCCCCTCGACCACGACACGTGCCACGCAGGAAGCATGAGCAGGAAATTCGATTCATTCATGGGGCAGTTACACCCACTTTTATTTCGATGCATGCAAATTAATAAACGCACGTGGTCTACATAAGATGAGATTGCTAAAATGCATCACTACTCAAAGTGGTCAGTGAGAGAAAGTCAAAGCTTAACTAGGTAATTGATTGGCAACTTGACCCAATTAAAGTGCTTTAGTCTATTCAGTTAGAACATAAAAGTGTTTGTCGAAAGTACTGCAACTCCGAAAGAGGACGCTCCACAAATGGGTGCGATCAATGCGTTATATGGGTACACAAGTTCGAGACTTTTTCACCCTTAGGAAGACTAATTTGTTCGGGACCTTCTAGATCAATAAAACTAGGGTGGCGCGGAGATTAAAGGGTCGTGCTTTTATTTTACCTCCTTGATCCTCTAGATTCCAGAATTCCTTTTGGAATTGGCTCTTGGCGAGCTCAGATGTTCAGAGGTCTCTTTTCACCTCTTTCTTAGGAATTCCTAGATCTTAGAGGCCATTAAACTGTCAGCCTTTGGTGATCCAGCCTTAGACTCGATTTGTCGAAATTAACCGCAACTCCTTGTAGGACGCCTCACGGTTGGGTGCGATCAATTCGGTGTAAGGTTATACAAGTTCGGACAGTGGGACCCACCTAGATTTCAAAAAATATTTGGTAGCACCCCGTATACGCTCCCTAAAAGTAAGGTCCAAGCAAACAAAGGTGGAAATATGTTATATTTGACTAGGTATAAATGAAGTATCGGTAAAGCCCAAATTTTTCTTCGAAACTTTAACTTTTTTTGTTTTTATTCAATTTTTCCTATTGGTTTAAACTCCCTTTTTATCAAAAGGAACTATATACAAAGTAACATGTTTTCATTTTTCATTTAACAAATTTGAAATTCATTTTTTGGTTTTATAGGAGGCATGACCTATAGGCCAAAACATAAAAAAGGTGGAAGCCCTATAACGCGGTTAAACTTGGGTACTCAGTTATAAAGTTACGGCGCTATTTAAAAGACAGTCTAGCAATCAATTAATATTTATAGAACGCTTGTCTGTCTTTTTAATCGAATAATGACGCGAATTATAAAATTATTACTCATATAACACTATCTAATTTAGTTGAATTTACCTTCTTTGTATCATCCTTGCTTTTAGGATTAACTGCTCTTGTAGCTTAGCAAAAACACTTTGCGGAGACCATATAATAACTTATGAATTTGAATACATGCAAGCCTTTTACTTCTTTAACCCTTAATTGCTACGAACGTGTTATACGGTTTGTAAACCATAGACTTTAAGGGTATAAACGGGTCGCTTATCGCTCAGTGTTTCTCACCGTATTTATACCTTTACAAAAGGTCAGAAATAATTTCCTTGTTTGTAAAATTAAATTATTTTTTACCATAGTGATATTTATAAGTTTACCTTGTTTAACTGGTACCATAAAAAAATGGGATCAAGTTATTGCTTTCGTGTCTGACTTGATCTTATAGTCTTGATACTTAAAGGGCTAATATATTATAAAATATTTTAAAATACATCACTAAGATATATAAAATTGGGTTAGTTAAAATTAAGAACTGCATAATATATTTGATTGCTCTCAAGCCGCCTGAGTAGTGCAATGCTTACCACCTAACATACCTGACAACAACAAAACGACAAAAAAAGGGCGCGACGCTCCGCGACAGTTTTAAACGTTTAACTAGGATTGCGCCTTCAGATGGCCCAACCCTCAATTACATATAACATTTGCAAAAATAATTTTTCTAGTTCTTTTTTTATAGGTTGAATTACTGCTTACTGCTTAATCTATTAATCTTTTTTTTGCGAAAAATTTTAATTGTTTCTGTTTCTTTTTGTTTCTATTTTTTGTAATTTTTATATTGTCGGCTGTCTTTCGCTTATGTTTATTAGAGTTTATTAAATTTCATGGTAGTCTTTTTGTTGTATAAATTTATGAGTAAATTTATTGCCTATTTTTTGCTGTATGGTAGTTGTGGTTTTGTTAACTATTTGATATAATATTATATGATTTAAAAATATTTTGTTTTGTGTATTTTG